TGATTACTTCTAAACTCATTATCTTGTTTCCATTATTATTAAATGATTACCATAGTTTTTTTTTCTATCTCTGTTTATAATGTATTGATCTGGTAATGACATGGTTTTTGTAAATGTCGTTACTCTTATTAGAGCTAGTGAGTTTCTTGCTCGTTCTTCTTATTAGCCAAAAGACGTCCTGAACGAGTGGTAGGGAAAAAATGTTGGACGATTCAAAAGTACTTTTAAGAAGTCTGTTTGAATAAAGATTATTTTGACTTTGACTTTGACTTGACTGACTTCCTGGCGCAATTTATATCAGCACACATTCGGCTATATGAACCTACGACATTTGTCGAAACAGCACCGCCATTTTACTTGTTCCAGATTCAAAATGCGACACTCTTTGACACTTATAATGAATCAGGCATATGGGATGTTATTTATTAATACGCTGAGAGCAGAGCGGAGCAGCATATTTTTCCAACTGATCTTTTGTGTCTTTCACCGTTAGATGGCGTGGGCCGCTGGCAAATGTCTTAACTATATAAAAATATATATACAAATACAGATTTTGATATATTCTTATCATATAAAAAAGAAAATTATAAATGCATTCCTTTGATCATTTACTTTGATCTCGATGCGTACTTGTTTGCGCAGTTGTATGGGAACGGAAGCGGAGGTACAAGGTACATACAAGGCCTCAAAGACGGCAGCCAGGACCAACGGTGGTAGTTGCTCAATCTCAGCATCGCATATCGAACGCTCTAACTACTCAGCCATCAAGCTAGAACTTATTAAAGTGTATATCGATATTAGAGCGCAAAAACACGAGACTAAAATCTATCACATGCGTAATGTCAATTGTGAAATAGTATACACACAAACCACAAATTAAGTGCGGTCAATAATTTTATATCTTGTTAATGTCAAAGACTGAAGGTCAACTCAGGTACTCTTAATACATCATATAGATAGTACGTGGTAAGTTAAGTCTGAAACTGTGGAGGTTAAGCAATTTTTTCAAAGGCCTGTCATTGGATGGGTGACCGGTTTTATCTCAAGCTTCCTGGTGTCATAGAATGTAAGATGAGCTATTGTTTCCGATTGTATTTGCAGTCGTCAACACTCATCCACACTGGGCCAGTGTAGTGAATTTGAGGTGTAATTTTTTGTATAGACAAATGTTTGCACGTCGTTCTATTGACCCAAACCGAAGTATTGCAATTTGGACAATAATTAATTTTCAATAATTAATTTAAAATTAAAATGTCAATGACTTTTGGTATAGGCGCCATCTTATCTACGAATCTAAACAAAGAAAAATGTTCACTTTGACATTGGCTGTAACGAATCACGTACAACAAAGCTGTATCTCAGTGCAAATATTCATAACTCTAATTTGTAGTCGCCGGCATTAAATTTATTCGGCTCACGGCGTCCAGCGCGCAGCGGCGCGTACGCACGAATATTTGTAGTTAGGTAAATACTCGGCATACATTGCATACGAAGCCAATAATAGTATTAGGTATGTGAATTTTGTTTTATTTATAGTTTAATTTATTACATACCATATTTAAATCACGAGAGAAGCGTTACAATAGCATTTTTAGACACAGTTATTGTTAGCATATCGCAAAATAAGAAAATAATCTGTCATCATTAACGTATCGTGTCGCTGCAGTAGAAGTTCCTTATTGGCGTGTATGGGAAAGCATTTAGTATATAATTCAGATACGTTCTAAGGTTCCAAAAATAAAAGTAATATCTATTCTTAATGAAAAATGTTTAAAAAATCCACTTTGTCCCTGGTACTTTAAGATGGGACTCGAACCCATGACTCAAACGACTCGTCTAACTAAAAGCTAACAGGACTGAGAATCTTTCAAGCATTTGTTACTTTTTGGCTACTACAGTGTGGTTATTGTAAGTTTTACGCTAACGCGCTCACTAGTGAACGAATTTGTATGGAGATTTGTAGTTCTTGGTAGTTACCGCTAGGGGCGCTGTGCCGGATTTCATACTAAAATCTTAACGCGCTCACGATCGACAGAGAATGTAAAAAAACGTCAAAAAAACTTACACTAAGTGCTCAGATGCATTTTTAAGCATTTTTCATTAAGAACATTTTTCAGTATAACATTGCGAATGAAAAATTTATAAAATTTAATGAGCAATATGTATGTTAAGAAAAATTCAATTTATTCAGGAATTACCAATTAAAATCAATCTATTGTCAGGTTTAAACAATATTTTTTATTAATTTTATTTCATCGCAGTTTTTAAAAATCTTTAAATTCAAATATATAACTAAGTAGTTAATGACGATGCGTTAATAAACGACTCTGAATCCCTTTATGTTACTGATTGCATCCGCGAATAACATCCAGAAATGGGGTTCCAATTTTTTTACCCGTGAATAATGAAAACGCTTATAAGGAAGCCGTGTATAAAGAGATTCTATTGTACACTAAAAATATTTGGCGTTAGGCGAGTAATGCAGTGGAAAGATGCAATTGGCTACTTTACTGTTTTACTTGCATATGATCATATTAAACCAGATTTATTTTTCTCTTAAAAGGGTTATCACTATTAATTAGTTTAAACTATCCCGCAAAAAAAATATGTCACGTTTTTCTTTCTATGTTTTTTTGGGTAAATAATATAAAATTATCGGTTAAGCCGATTCTTTCTAATAAGAGAGACGAAGATTGCAACGGGGTTTGGTGACAACGAAGAGCTCTTTTTTTGAATCATACGTCTCGCGTCGAGCGCTCGATTTCTACTAATTTTTGTTCGACATCAGAAATTCGCTATTTCTGATTCGCTCGACTGCAATGAGTGGTATGAACCACTCGTCGCTTAGCGAACGTTGTATGCGAGTGATAGAATAAACATGAAATAAATCAATGACGGTGAAATTAATGTATAAATGACGTTTATGGCGGTTTTGTTTATATTCATACTTTTATTATATGGTGATTTTTTTATATATAATACATAGAACAAAATCCAATATTACGAATCATGTTGGCCCCACTGCAGACGGACGATTCAAAAATACTAAAAAATGGCATTATGCGACTTAGAAGACGAGCGTGACTTAGGTCATATACGAGTGAATCAAAAATAGAGCTCCTGATGGTCCGTAGGATAGTCGAGTATTTTACCAGGCCCAGCCTGTTCAGGGAACGCCGGAGCCCGCCCGTGATTTTGACCACGAGAACTAAGCCAAATGTAACAGGTAATTATTTCTAGATTTACATACGCACTTTGTAAATTTAAAAAGAACACTAATGAATAAACCACCATCACCGCATATTATGGCTTCTTATGCATGGTTGAACTACGGCATAATCGTGTAAGGTAATAGCACAGATGCAGATCTTTATTTATTTTACAGAAAAAATGTATCAGAATAATAAAAAAATTGGAGAATACGGATAGTTGCAAACAACATTTCAAAAATCTTGAAATCTTTACGTTGCCCTCAATATACATCTTAGAGGCCGCCAAATTTGTTAGGAAACACCCGAACTTCTACACAAAAAAAGAAAACTTATCGTGTCGTTTTCCTTCAAGATATAACCATAAATTAAACATATCTATTCATATTTATAATAAATTGCCAGAAGCATTCAACAAGAACAAAAATTTACAATGTAGTTTCTTCACAGTAATATATAACTTATTGGCATTTATATTATATTATAATAAGTATCAATATTAAGCGTATTATTGGTAATAATTTTAAACAAGTTATTGACTTAATATTTTATTGTAATTACTTAATTTCTGACATTATACTACCTTTTTGACAAATAAATTATATTATGATAAATGTACTAATTACTAATTAAAGTTTTAAATAATTCATTGACATAGATACATAATACATATAATCTTCTTAATTCTTGACATCGATATAAACGCTTTGACATTAAAATAAAAAATAACATAGTTTAATAACATGACATGGAATAAAATATAAAAAATACTCAACCAATATAATGTTAGTAAAAGTTATTAATTGAGACAATATAAAACAGTTCGTTTTCTACTTTAAATTGATTTAATGGGGAATTGAACCCGGAACTCAGAGATGGCGACACTTTCAATCCGGCGTACGAACCTCTCGGCCACAGAACTGGTGATGTTGAACTGGTTGAATTCAAGTAATATATCGAATTAAAATTGTTAGAATATCGACGAAACCTTTCTAAGTAAGTATTAAATACCAAAGATTGAGTTATCATCGACTTTTGTAGATAAATCAAAATAAAACTGTCAGCTTTACTGTAACTTTATAAATCTCGAAGCTGGCTCAATGAATTTTACATATTATTCGTTTAAGGCACTCGAAACACAACACTAATATTGTTACCACAAGTTTCATTGCTTATTTTAAATGTAAAACAAATAAGATATAAAAATATACCATAAGGTACCATAAGCTTCAAACGCAGTTCGGAATGTAATACTATAGTTGGGAGAAGTATAACTTAAGCAAATATTTTTAACCAATATATGAGAATTTGAATGAAAAAAGAATTTTTAATAGCTAATAATAATATCATTCTAATTAAACTGTTCTAACTTCATGAAATTCTTGTTTATTTGATCACAATACTTGCTTAAATGACATATTCTCAAATAATAACTTCTCTCGACTATAGATACGAGTGTAAGACTAAGGTAAGAGCAGAACTAGTAGAAAAGAATTATAACTAGTAGTTTTTTTAATAATCATAAAAAACACGTTATTGTGATCCAAAAATTAGCATAAAGTTGAATGTTTCCAATAATAGTTTATCAGAGCTCTAAAAGCTAGCACATCAATGCGTAAACAAAAAAAAATAGCGCCTAGGTGTATCTGTTATCATGGAACGTTATCCCCGGATCAAGCTGTCGTGAGGAACGTAGCATCCCTATCCGCGCAGCTAAGAAATTGGCGTCCAACGGTATGCGAGCGCAACCTGTTCCAGGGGGGGAAGCCCCCTCACGCGGCCCTCCGCGCCAGTGCCCACGAAGCCTCCGTCGTGCTCGGCTGCACGCCCGCGTTCCTTTTCCAGGCATATAAAAAAAAACGCGTCCAATTTTAAAGCCCAATTATTTACTAAACTTGTGCTATTCGAATTTTAAACAAGTGAATATTCGTTCGGGAATCATATTCGGATTGCAGTGAAGTGTCTAAACAGTGTTTTTAAACGTGTTCTGATCCCATTTTTTTTGCCCGAATAAATCGAATTGATTATGTCTGTGAACGTAATGGTGTTGTGTTGAAGGATTTTGGAGGTCGGTACCATCTTATATGCGGTAGGGTATATAAATTATTCCGGTAGACATAAGATGTTTTAGTGAGAAAAGCTCGTGTAAAGCTCTAACACGTAGGTTTTATGCGAGAGGTTCATTTAACTTCGAAATAAACTACGCACGGTGAAGTAACCTCTTTGGTAGATACTTGTTTTTAGCTATGAGTTAAGGATTTAGCTAGGGAGAAAATAAAATATATTCATAAATTGTTAGGTGATAATTAATGTAACTCTTGAGAAATAATTGAGACATTTTGTCCGAAAAGAAAAAGAATATCCTAGAAGAATGTTTAAATGGGAATATACATTGTAAATTTACATAATTGCATAGATGTAAGAAAAGGAAGATTATATGAAAACAATAATAACAGAGCGCTCGTCTCTATATCGTACAAACGCCTTGAACTCTAATGTACCGAAGTCGTGGATACCTCTCTTAAAATAAATGAAAAAGGAATTTTTTCGACTTAATTAATCGATTCTAATCTCGATTATAGATTGTTAATTTATACATATTACGTCTACAGTGATATTTATGATATATATTGCATTGTTATGGTTTTGTGAATTAAATAATACTTTAAAGTTTGTATCTTTTTATCATAATAAAATTCTAAATGTATTCTACAAATTAATTGTAGTTGAAATGATATATTTTTCTCCATCGCTCTTTTTTTTTAAACTTAATCTACACTAAGCAGGTCTATGTTAAATTTAGCCTGCAGCCAATACCGTGTCTAATGAAGTCTCAAAGAACTTGATCACGGTAATATATTCTTTGCCGATAGAATCCATTTCTCGCAAGGAATTGCTTGTTTGCTAGATGAACGACACAATTAGAAATCATGGAATTTACTCTATAATTTTTTTGTGTTATGCTTGAAATATTCTCACTGAGGCCGTGTACGTTGTGCGTCCTTATAGTAAGCTATAAACGAGTAGCCTATGTCACTTTCTGATAAGGTAAAATATTGGTGAAATAATTCTTAAAATCGATCCACTAGTTTTGAATTTACGCATTACACACAATCTTTTCTTTTTATAATGTTTTTTATAGTATCAACTAGTTGTTTTCCTGCGGCTTCGCCCGTGTAGATTATAGCTTATGTCACCCTCGTATGGTCTACTATCCCGAAAAAACAAAGTTAGAAGTTTTACCTCTTAATAATATTAGTATAGACTGAAAATGTGCGTATTCTCTCTCGTATTTACAAAATCTCTGTCTAACACTAAATTAATGTTGTATCTCTATTTACAAGAAAATAAGAGCGGTATGCTTAATAGACGTATACCAATAATTACAAATTTTTATAATGAATCGGAATTAATGAAAAAAAAATATTTCAAAGTAATATGGAAAGGACCGATAAGTGATACTTTTCAAGTAGGTTATATTTCAATGAATGTATGTAAGTACTATGACAGCACTGTGTTCGACGTCTAGTTATGATTTCATTACCTGCATTCAGTATTATTATTAGTTTTAAAACGTGAAGGAAAACTTCGTAAACCTTTCATAATAATTTGGCTTCATTCAAGTTAAATATGGAGAAAAATTCCAGAATGCTACTATTTTATTACAACAATGCATGCAAATACATGAAATTAATGGGAAAACCTTTACACACACCTGTATACTGAATGTAAACCGTATTAATGTTATAAATGCGACAGTTTGTGAGGATGTATGTATGACTGTTACTCTTTCACGCAAAAACTACTGAATGGATTTCAATGAAAATATATATATGCTACTATTCATGTCAATAAACGGTTGTCTAGTGACCACGCGGGTAAAGCAGCTGACGGAAAGTTAGTCAATCCTAAAGAAGTTTAGTCTTTGACTAATAAAATCATAATAATATTCAAACTACTTGATAAAAAATTGACATTTGAATGAGCCTAGGGAAGCCTGAATGCTTTGATACTTGTGCCATTGTCACTTTTTATGTGAAATTGATAACATATAGTTTATTTAGTGGAAAACACTAAAAATATTAATAGGTTAATTTTTATCTTTGAACGTTTTTGAATTTATATATAAAATTAATGATTTAAATCTATTATAAATTATAATTCACTTTTAAAAAAGCTGCTGTTGGGCAACATGAAGTTATTAAGATTAATTATTAGTTTTACTAGATTTAACCTATACATAATTCTAGTAGAAACACTCGAGGAATGATTTTTAATTATATATATTATTATTCAGAAGCTATTTATTAATACTTAATAAGCAATATGCATGTCAGATTCTGATATTATTTTAATTCGGGTGTCGAATTTGCTAGACGTCATAGGTATTTATATTTTTCTTAATTAATTGATTTGATTCTAGATACAAAATTATTATAAATGAATATATTTCCCTGTCACCCGTAATCTTAATTTTTATATTATTTATAACATTATAGTGGACGCCCGCGACTTCGTCCGCGTGGAAGTCGGTATCCCGTGGGAGTGAGAAGTTTTCCCAGTAAAAAGTACCCTATGTGTTATTCTGATGTATAACCTATATTGCTGTAAAGTTTTATCCAAATCCGTCCAGTAGTTTTTTCGTGAAAGAGTAACAAACATCCATACATCCATACTTACAAACTTTCGCCTTTATAATATTAATAGGATTCTTTCACACTGTGTGTTTTCTTGTTTATTTATATAAAAAATATCAATATAAATCAGATATCAGATAAAGTAATAAAATTCAAATATAAGAATAACGTATGTGTCAGTATTCAAAAAAAAACAATCCAATAAAGTCGATCGTAAATAAGATCATTCCAATGGCGCTTATAAATTTATTTGGAATTATTTTAAGAGGTTTCTTGTGTTTCAATTCAATGCAAAAGAATCACAACTTTTTCTTATGACATTCAGATTTTGAGACTAACACGAGTTCTTGAAATTTTGTTTGTTCGATGTTTTTTAATTATTACCAATGTCCTTTTTTCTCATTATATCGATATCGAATTCGATAATGACAACGAATCGAGTTCGTATTTAAAAGTTCCGATAAACATTAATTTTTTTTATGAGAATTGTTTCAACCTTTTTATTTATCCAATTTTATGAGACCAGTCGCAATCGGTATGAAAGTTATGATGCCAAATAAAATAAAATTATCGAGAAGCAGTAAAGAGGCTTCTGTTATCGAATGATTTGGTGAAATAAACCTCTGTTTTGAAATAACAATTTTCTCTGAATGAGTTTTACGAATAATTCTTATTTAATTTGTAACAAAACCTTCTTGTCCTTTCTGTATCTTTGTTTAAACCAAAAAAAAAAACAAATGAACTTTCATAATTCTTGCACTAATGAAGTAATTCATGAAGAAGGTTTATAGTAGGAAGGATTTATAGTTCAGTGCAGTTTCGAAACTACTGGATGGATAAAAAAAATTCTTTCACCTACATCATACACGGTTGATAATTTACAAGTACAAAGTCTAGCTGGACTCGCGGGAATACAGCGAGTCCAGCTAGTTTTGTTATAAAACAACGTCGAAGTTGTCTTCGAGCGATGTCCTTTCACAGAATAGAGCTTCAACGAAATAAAATCTTTATTACCCTTGCATGTTTTATTTGTTTGCAACTTTTTACAGCAATTGTAAGGATTTGGCTCATAATGGTGTACGAAGGTTTAAATGTTTTCATATAAATAATCTTAAAATTAATTTTTATCGCCATCAATAAGATTTTAAAGTGTATTCAGCTTTAATGTGAAGTACGACAATGCTCGTTGATGGTCTCGGGAATAATAATGCAAAGACCGGGTCCGTGCTTATTCTATGGATTAATTTAGTTTCGTGTACAAAAATAAAGATATAATTTATTAAGATAAAGGTTTCTTTAATTAAATACAGTATTGACCTTACATTGGGTGGCTAACTAATGCGATATAGATCTATAACACTTTGAATATATCGCTTTAGTGGTAACTTATTTTAATGTATATCCATGTCGATAATATATTACTATTTAATACTTAATATGATATTATTCTGAACCTAATAATTTTATGGGGATGTAGCACTGATGCTCCTACCTTATTAACAAAACAAAAGAAACTCATAAGAATAATATTTAATATAGATGAAACAGAATCATGCAAGCCTTACTTTATAAAATATAGAATCCTAACGCTACCTTGTTGATATATACTCGAACTATGCAGCTTTGTTCGAAAATACCCAAATTTCTATACCAAGCGAGATAATGCCATAATTAAACCTCTTAGACCAAGAAATAAATTAATGTTACCATCTTCCAAAATGAAACATCATTTTTCAAGCCCATTAATCATATCAATAAAAAATTATAACAAGGTGCCCAATATATATAAAGAAATTAAAGATGACAAAAATTTATTGAAAATCTAAAACAATTACTCATTAAAAAGAGCTATTATAATATATCGGAATATTTAAAAGACAAAATATATAAAATTTAAATTTTAATAAATATGATACATATTTTATAGAGAAGTAATTATTATACGTTTACAATGAATGAATGGATGATTAAAAACAATATGTAATAAAATACTAAATTTAAGAATATAATATATTTTTGTTTAAATTATAATATTAGCGAAATTGAAAATTTATGTATTATTTCAAATCTGGTAATGACATGGTTTTTGTAAATGTCATTACTCATATTAGAGCTGGTGAGTTTCTTGCTCGTTCTTCTTATCGGCCAAAAGACGTCCTGAACGAGTGGTAGGGAAAAAAATGTTGGACGATTCAAAAGTACTTTTAAGAAGTCTATTTAAATAAAGATTATTTTGACTTTGACTTTGACTTGATTTAATTTTTATAAATTACAATCATAAAAATAATGCTCCTTCTTTCTAATATTGTTGTGCCCGACAGGGTCCATAGTGTGACTTACTTAATTATGTAACATTATTTTAAATTACCTATGGAAACAATAAACTTATTGAGTATTATATAATTAATAGGTATAATATAGTATAATAAAT